GCTCCGTCACCCCTCGATTTACCAAACCCTGACAGCTTCTCTGTGCCAGAGTTCCCGAATGGCTTCCTTGGGCCTGCTTTTATAGAATCATAGAATGTTTTGGGTTGGAAGGGACCCCTAGAGGTCATCTAGTCCAACCCCCCTGCAGGAGCAGGGGCACTGCTAACCAGATCAGGTTGCTCAGAGCCCCGTCCAACCTGGCCTTCAATGCTTCCAGGGATGGGGCCTCCACTACCTCTCTGGGCAAGCTGTTCCAGTGTTTCACCACCCTCACTGTAAAGAATTTCTTCCTTATATCTAGTCTAAACCTACCTTGGTTTAGTTTAAAACCATTACCCCTTGTCCTGTCACTAGGTACCGTAACGGAGAGCATAAGGCATGTGTATACAGACCACTTCTCTGAAAGTTTGCAGTGTTCACTAATAAGACGTTGGACCTGCTCCAACAGTTCCATGTCCTTGTGCTGAGGGCTCCAGAGCTGGATGCAGTAGGGTTTGCCTGCGTTGTGCTTGCTGTTCAGTATTACTCAAAACCGTGCAGTGTGTCTCTTGATGTTAAGGTTCCTGTGTACAATACAAAAATTACACTACTTGAGGAAAACTGGCATTGTGGAATTTGAAATACCTGTCTTTTTCTTAGGAAAACGTGCATGTTAGCCATTTACGTGCATGTTAGCCAAAAGTTGTGGTGATTTTTAAGCCACCGATGATAAAGGCACTGCTGTACAATAGGAGGCATGTGCTGTTAATTGCCTTTTCTTCATACTTTGAGAAAACTCCCTCTTTGTTCTTCATACTCACAGGGTATGAAGAGAGCATGGGAACAAAGAAAGACAGTTGTTACAGCCATTGTTACGAATGTTTTAGGTTAGGTGAAAACCTTAGCTGCAGATAGTGCATATGGATAAATTCAGTCACAGTTACTCTTTAAAAATTTATTTTAAAAAAACCCCAAACAACACTGGCAACTTCACAAAAGCTACCTCTAAAACAGCTGTGAGAATTTTTTCACTGAATCGTGAGTTTGTGTGCAGATGCACACAGACATTTTGAAAGGTACTGTGTGACCATCAATGTTAGGTTTGTACTGTTTTCCCCCTCGCTTGTTTTTCCCGCTCTGAGGCAAACGCCAGCGCTGTTGCGACAGGGTTCTCTCTGCAGAGAGTACGTGTGTCGCACTGATCTTGCATAGACAGCCAGCGTACAAATGGGACCTCTTGCTGTGGGAGGCTGGCCCTACCTGTTCTGAAACCACCAGGCTGTGTTTCAGTCATTCCCCTTTTATCACAAGCATGTGGTTTATGAAGTTTTCATAAAGCATCCAGGCTAAGAAAGGTTATGAGCTTAAGCAGTTTAGGGTAAAAGAACCAAATTAAGGCAGTTTGGTAGGAGTAAAACAATAGCCACTGTTAATCAGATGCAGCAGACTAAAAATCCTCTTGTATTTCTTTTTTGGAAAAAAGGGTACAGGGAGTCTCAATTTTATAAAGCTAACTGACAAGCAGTGTTATGAATTAGAAAAATATTACTATGTCTTTCTTAATTACAGCTAAGATGCAAGTAAATTTCTAAATGGGTCTTTTTGCTCTCAAAATAAAGATAAAAACTACAAGTGCTTAACAAAAATTAATTGCTTACCAGAGCTCTTATTTTGGACATTGTATTTTTATATAGTTGTAACTGAAAAGCAAGTTAAAAATCACTATGAGAACTCCCCTATAGGATTGCATGACTCAAGCATTAAGACAAAAGAGAATCAACTAACACTGAATTCATATGTTTTATTTTTTATAACACTGTATTCATATGTTTTATTTTTTTAAACAAGCATCCAGCTGCTGAAGTCACAACCATTAAAGTCAAACTACTATTGTACCACCTTTTGGTTACGCAGGACCAATGACACATTTCTCTTACCACTGGAAAATTTTCTCTTCTTCCCTGGAGAAGGCTACAGTGCCATTTGGAAAAAAAAAATCTAAACAGGCCGATTTAAATTATCTAACTTGTTTCGTTATTTTTAAGCTGATTAATACAAATTCATTTGCTCTGAAATAACTTCCTTTCTTTGACATTGTTTTGTGTGCACTCACACAGGATATTGAATCATTTTATTAAGCGAGCTGAACAGCTTTCACGTTTCACTGAACTCACAGTAACTGTTCCCGTAGTCTCTGCTGTCACGCCACTCTGTAATAACTTCCCGCAGCAACAAGGGACTCCCTAAAGATCCGTTTACTCCACCTACAGCAACAGAACAACAGCCAGGTATTTCCTCTCTTTTGGCAAAAGTGTGTTAGTTTTGATAGAACGCTAAACTATGCCAAGACTCTCTATTGCTCTGTAGGCATACAGCGAGTGATGTTAGGAACCATGATTTTAGTGATAAAAAGGCAGGATTTGTAAAACTTCACATAGAAAATTGGCAAATGCTGTGTAAATGAAGAGCTTTTGGAAGCTGTATGAACTATTGTATAGGTTTATTAAATAACAACTTAAGTATTTTCCTGAGTAATCTTTTTACCTTTATTACACAGACAGAAAAAATATATTCGAAACCAAACTAACCAGATGCCCAACTATTAAAAATTTATTCTAAAGCAAACTGATTCAGGTCAGGTGACAGCAGGAAGGGAGTTCCAGCTGCTTGCCAGTGCTCCGGGCAGCACAGCTGCTGCCGTATTCCCAAGGCAGCAGCACAAGTGGATGTTGGAGGCAGGAATAATGTCCAGAAAGGGGAAATGCTTCCCATGGAAGGAAGTAATTCACTTCCTTCTGAATGCTCCTGCTGCCCTTTAGGCTTGGTATGAGCCCTCGGTAGCCAGGGCCAAAGCCAGCGGGTTTGCTGTGTATTTCTGATTACATCCCAGGGCGCTGGTGTTAAAAAACACCCAACCTATTCCCCACTGATGCATTTGAACCAAGAGTATAATATTTAAATACAGAATGAGAGAAAGGAATGAATAAGGCAAAATCAAATAGCTCTTTCAAAGATAACAAAGGCATCAAATCAGAAGGGAAGCATTTTACATATATTTTGCCCAAATATGGCAAACAGCTACTGAAATTAATGAAGTTAGTGGTTTGTCAATCATCCAAAGTTATTAGAAAATTTAATGAAGGCCTTAAATGAGAGTTTCAGTAAAACTTAGGCAATGCGTAAGCTTTATGTTGACCTCTGCACCTGAGAAAGTGTCACCCTTGCTGTATTTAATGGTGGTACAGTGGCCCGCACGAAATGATCTGATGGTTTGAGGCAGCTTCACAGGAGATAAAAATGCATGTGACAAAAGGCTACGGAAACACAGACACAGTTGATAGACACAGCAGAAACAAACAGTGCTGAGTGACCAAGGTGGTTAAACTGCTGTTTCCTCCAAGCCGTGTTATGGGACACATCAATGAGGCAATGCAGGACACGACTTCAAGTCGATTTGGCCACTGCTGTATCTGATCCATTATTAAATACCTACAAAACTATCCCCATTATCTGTACCACAGGTACTAATTTTATAACACAAATAGCTATAGGAAAGTGCATCAAATGTTTTCTTTGGTAACAGTCCTAACTCCATTATTAAGATGTGCTTGCCCAGTTCTACAGAAGGTTTGAATAAATAGAAAAAGAGGATTAAAGAAATATATAATTGTAGAGAAAAAAAAAATTGAATGACAAGCAGCAATCAATATATTACATCAAGAAATCACAGCATAAAAGACTACAGGACTGCAAAGTAAAACTAAAACTAGCCTCACATTTTAAATAATCTACTTCTAAAACATCTATGGTAGGAGAAAATAGTATTTTCTCACTTTCAGTTTCACAGTTGGCAATCCGATAATCGGGATCACTTTAGAGAAACGGATATACAATTGATAGCTCTATGAAAACATGTTCAATGCTGAGTAACGGCCAAATTAAATGTTAGGAATTATTAGGAAGAACAAAATGTAAAGTGTTACTTTGCCACCGTATAAATCCATAAGGCATCTGACACTGCTCGGACATGAATGCTGGCTGGGATTCTTGTTTCCCACCTTAAAACAATGTGGCAGTACTGAAGGCAGTGGCAAGAGTGGAAAGAACAGTTCAAATTCTGGAACAGCTTCATATAAAGACTGACAGTGGAGAGTAGAAGTCTTCAGCCTAAACAACAGATAAAGAAGGAAAG